CAGCTCGAATTTGACTGTAACGATACTGAAAGTTCACGCGCGTTTCGTCCGAGTCCTTGCTTCATGTCCCCCTTGCAAAGCGTGCCTGGAAGATTCGCAAAAGGGCCGGTGAAGTGACGAATCGTGTTGAATCCCGAATCGGGTCGTGCCCGTCGAAGCGTCGGCTCCCGCGCCGATGTCTCCAGAGTGCCTGTTGCGAGCAGACGCGTTTTTTAGTACAGCATCGCTAGCACTAGTATTCTTCGTCGTCGGGGATGTTCAGAGTCCATGCGCGTTTCACCCGCGCTTCCGCCACCCTAAAGTGGTCGTAAGACTTGAGCGGTTCTACGCGCGAGCCCATAGTAGGGCCAGCAGTGAAACCAGTACTAGCACGTTGGTCGCGGAGCTGCTACCAAACAGCAGCAGGCGAAGATAGTTCGAGCAGGACGTCCCCTTTGCGCTGCAGTTCGGAGGGATGGAGTAAGCGGGACAGCACGAAGAAGGAAAGCTAGAGCTCAGAGCTCGAGCGCTCAATCAATCACGCCCACCGGTTGGCTACTTGGCTTTGTGGCGTCCGATATTGCGACATATTTATGTCACGTGCTCACCATCACTTTTTTGGCTACGCGCTTCGCAGAGGCACGGGCTACGACTTCACCGTAGCTTCACCGACACCCTAGGGCTGGCATTGCAGTCATGTCATGCGAAAACCCGACAGCGGAGGCAGACGCTATCATGCCTCGTAGGTCACTCGCCGCTCCCATTACCACCCCAGCTCATGCTTTTGTAGGAAAGCGCAAGTACGACAAGTCACGAACTTGTGTCAAGTGCAAAGAGAACGCCGGCAATGTTGTTGTCAGGCATGCGGTGTATTGCAGGTACGTCACCTCGCAGATGTACAACAAGCCACTGACGTTTTTAGAGCGTGCTTCATACCACAGATGACATATAAGTTCAGGCGTTCGCTCGAGCCATATGTCAACGCGAAACCTGACGGACCACGACGTACTGCACTGAAACCAACTGGAAATCTCCTCGTAGCCTTTTCAGGAGGACTTGGATCAACCGTGCTACTCGACCTTGTGAACCGCTGCTACGTCTCTCCCGACCCTACACTCCTCACTGCGGATGGAGGGCGAGACCACCCACGAAACGAGCGTGTCTGGAAGAGGGTCCATGTATGCTATGTTGAATGTTGCGATGTTCTTCTAGGGGTGAGTAGTTGGCTGCGCTATGTCAATCTCGGCGGCTTGTTCAACTGGATGAAGTAGACGAAAGACCGAACCGAGGAGGTCAAGAATCTAGTCGAACAGATCCAAGGGGTGGAATTTATCTCCCTCCGAATACAAGACGCCTTCGACTCTTCTTGGTGGAATAGCATCTTTCACGAGGATTCAAATGGTGATGTTGTTGTGGACCTCAGTGATGAAAGTGCGTTCGGTTTGATATCGACGTCAACTTCGTACTGACATCTCGTAGTGCTACCTTTTGTCACGACAGGCAGCAGTACTCAGACCCCGCTCTCCGCCATGAAAGCCTACCTCGCATCGCTACCTACACCCACGGCTCTTCCTACTACACTCAATAATCTCATCCGCGTTCTTCTCCAGCACACCGCTCTGAATACCAACTCCTCGCATCTTCTCTTTGGCACATCCCTCACCAGCCTCGCAGTCTCTCTAATCTCAAACGTGTCTCAGGGAGGGGGCTTTCACGTCAAAGAGGAGATGCAGGAAGAGTGGTTCCCCGACGCACGCCTCGCTAAAAACTCCAAAATCGGGTCTGTTCGGCTAATACGGCCCCTCAAGGACATCAGCGTGAAAGAGTGTGGCGTGTGGGCGTGGTGGTCGCGGCTACGAGTCATCGGCCGCGAAGAGTGGACATGGCCAGGGGCAAAGCCGGGTATCGGCCGGCTGACGAAAGGTATGACCGGTCCTGTAAAATGGTGCCCACGATTGATAGAAAACCCTTATAGACTTCATTAGAGGACTCGAGACCGACTACCCTTCGACGGTGTCGACCATTGTGCGCACGTGTGGCAAGCTCTCGCCGAAGGGCTCGACTTCTGGACAGTGCTTGCTTTGCCAGCGGTAAGACTAGCACTCCCACTTACACCATTGGGTCTCGCACTAACGTCACGCCGTACAGGCCGGCGCAGGAGGGTGTTCAGGCGTGGAAGGCGCGCATTGCCATCCGCTCGCACGACGACGTTGCTCTAGCTGGCACCTCTGTTCCTGACCCGCCAGGGCATGCGCTCGCGCCGCTGCTGTGCTACGTCTGCCACACAACACTGACGAGCAAGGGCACGCGCGCCGCGCCGGCACTGTACCCCTCACATACAAGCCCGTCGGTGGGAATCTCGGTGCCGTTGTGGGCCTCCTCGTATCTTCTAGGCAGCGCGCTGCACGACGAGAGCTCTGACACGGGCTTCGTAGAGCCTGTCGCGTTCTCGGGCGGGAAGAGGATGAGTCAGGAGGAGCTGCGTGGGGCGATCAGCGAGTTTATCTTAGATTAGATCAAGATCACAGCTCTGATCGTACTTACATAAATGGCACGCCGCCGCGTGTGGAGCGACGCGGATTTGCCTTTGCCGACGAGGCTTGCGCTCAAACCAAGTCGCGAATACTGTACGAGAGTTTCCTGCTGAAGCTTGTCGCGAAGCGCGCGTTACTACCCGTCTTCATTAATATTGTATAAACCTCTGGTTCGGCATTTGAGTCCGTGGGACGCGAACCGCGAGGAAGACCTGGGCTTACCAACTGCCTTATATCTTCCCACCACGTCTGACTCACAATGTCTGCTCGCGTCACTCTTCGCAACTACATAGACAGCGGTCCTGCCCCTGCGGTCATGGACAACGCGGAAGGGTTCACGTACGATCCCAGCACGTCGCCGCCTCCGTTCGGCCATGCCATGCGCAAGTACTGGGGCTTCGACGAGAAGTACGTCAATGTCAACAACGGTGGGTACTTTCCCCCATGCTGGCGGAGTCATATTGAACGACGACGGTGCACCCGCAGGGTCGTACGGCTCGCTACCTCTGCCCGTGCTTACAGAGTGCCACAAGCTGTCTCTGCTCGCGGAGAGCAACCCGGACAAGTTCCACCGGGCGATATGCATACCCATGCTGGAGAAGGCGCGGTAGGTGCCTCTCCTCAGTCGCTGTTCTCTCTTGCTACACGACGAGTGCAGAGCGCAGGTGGCGGACCTCATCGGGGCAGACCGCGACGAGATCGTCTTCGTTCCCAACACGACGCACGGCCTCAATACCATCCTGCGCAACATCGAATGGCGCGAGGGCGACGTCATTCTCGACAGTGAGTGAGCTTCCACCGCCCGCACCGCGGCGTGTCGATCTCAGCGTACCCACTCGCAGCGACGATCACCTACGGCGGCATCGCGCGCACCGTGCAGTACGTCTCCGACCGCTCCGAGGGCCCGCACCCCACGGTGCACACGCTCACGCTCACGTTCCCGATGACGCACGCCGCGATCGTCGCCGCGTTCCGCGCCGAGGTACGCGCGCTCAAGGCTGCAGCGGCGCGCGCGGGCACGCCATTCGACATCCGCGCGGGCGACACGTGCCTCGACGGCCGGCACAACCGGCTCGTCGTGGTGCTCGACGCGATCGCGTCGAACCCGGGCGTCGCGCTGCCCTGGCGTGCGCTCGTGCACGTGTGCGCCGAGGAGGGCGTGTGGAGCGTCGTCGACGCCGCGCACAGCCTCGGCCAGGAGCTCGGCGTCGACCTCCGCGCGGCGCGGCCCGACTTCTGGGTGTCGAACTGCCACAAGTGGTTGTACGCCAAGCGCGGGTGTGCGGCGCTGTATGCGCCCAAGAGGTGCGCCGTGCGATCCTGGCGCTCTCGTCGCGCGGCGTGTGCCCCCTTTTTTTGCTCAGTCTCTTCCCTCTTCCCCTGAAGGAACCAGCATGTCATCAAGTCGTCCATCCCCACGTCGCATGACTATCCTGGTGCAGACCGCATCCGTGAGACTGGCGACGTACAGTTCGTACTGCAGCACGAGTGTCAGTCGTCGCCGCCCCGTTCTTGCCAAGGACACGGTTGATGCTTGTCGCAGGGACGGGAACCGCGGACTTTGTTCCATACCTTAGCGTTCCGCACGGTACGCCCCTTCGTGGTTTTGGCACTACCTTCGATCCTGACACTGAACAAACAGCTCTTGCATTCCGCCGGTGGCTTGGAGGCGAAGAGAAGATCAACGCGTACTGCCACAAGCTCGCCTTTGAGGGCGGAAAACGCCTTGCCGAGATCCTCGGGACAAGAGTCATGGACGAGACAGGCGAGGCTACGCTCTGCATGGTCTGTTCCTCTGCTCCTTCCCATTTACGCTGTCTGACGTCGCCGCTTAGACGAACGTCCAGCTCCCGCTCCCTGTCGAAGAGACTGGCCCGAACACCAGCGCTATTTTCACACCGGAGATCAAGGCGAAAATATTGAAACTTTGCCAGGAGCGATTCTTCAAGACGTACAACACGTACCCCGGGACATACTATCATGGTGGTGCAGCGTGGTGTCGGATTTCGGTACAGGTGTGGACGGAAGTGAGCTCCATGTTCTCTTTCTTGCGTAAAAGACGCGACTGAGAGTGTATGCTGCAGATATCCGACTTTGAGTACGTTGGAATGGTGTTGAACGAGCTGTGCAAGGAGATTTGCGAGACAATCTTGAACCGGGACGCAAGGGGTCCTGCAGTTGGCATAGATGTGCAGCAAAAACTCTAAAGTATGGTTGTTATCGTGTACAACAGCAAGGAGAAATGTATTGAGTGTAGATCTAGAATCTCTAAACCACAAAAGCTTTGAAAATTTAACGACAGCACCCTTATGGTGGTTTCGTCTATCCTCGTAGCAAAGAACTGTATCTGATGATCTCTAAACCAAATGGCACGTTAAGGCCATACGCTTTCGGAGGGGTACACTGGGGATGGATTTTGGCTGAGCGGCAGACCGAGGTGGACGAGAGACACGCCCCTCACTGTTCTCCATGGATAGCAATGTCGTTAATGGCCATAGCCAACGCCGTGATGTCCGAGTGCGAGAAGTCGTCGATGTACAAGATGTTCGGGAACGTCTGCGAGTTGACCGCGGACGGCAAGTGGCGGAATAACGCCGGGTTCGCCTCCTCAGCAAGGGTCAGGATCCTGCCGTCCGAGACGATGTCCTGCACCGCCTGCGTGAGCGTCCACGAGAGCAGGAACAGCTGTGCGTTGGGGCCCGTCCGGACCGCGCGCATCTTCTCGAGCTGGTCCTGTATCATGCCCTCGAGCCTGTCCTTGTCCGCATAGCTGTTGTACGCGTCGAACTGCTTGTAGAAGTAGAACCCGCGCTGCGCATTGTCGCCGAGGGCGATGTCCGGCGCGTCGGGCTGCACGATGACGACGACCGCGGCCTCGCCGCGCCCGATGAAATCGTTGAGCGTCAGGCGCGTGAGGTCGACTTTCTCCGGGTCCGGCGCGACGTACAGGTGGTCGAGCGCCGAGAGCTGCTCGAAGAGGCGGTCCCACTCCTCCTGGGTAAACGGCTTGAACTCACGGCCGTGGTCGGTGTTGCGGTCGTGCGAGAGGTTGAGCACGACCAGCTCCTTGTTTTCGGCGGTGTATGCATTGATTTCCTCGATGATTTGCGCGAAGTTCTGTCCGTCCGCCCCCTGCCAGCCTAGGACTTCGATGCCGGAGTAGTGTCCCGTCTTGAACTGGCCGCTTGCGATCACCGGGCGAGTATCGAAGTACCGCCCTCCCAGAAACAGCTGTGTCGCTATAGAGGCCGTCTGGGTGATGACATTGTTCTCGTTCGCCAAAGGCGTCTTGCCGTCGACGATACTCATGCCAGAATCGTGCGATCCAGGAATGCAAATTTGACGCAACTGTCGGTTTCCTAAGGTGGACAGGTTACGATGCATCCAGTCGGATGGAGGGTTCGTGGAAGAAAAGCACCCGTCGCGTCCCGAGAGGATAAAGACGACGTCTCCGTCGTGTTTCCAACCAAGCTTGACGACGCTACCCCGCGCATTGTTTGCCGTGGAGATACCGTCGTAGTAGACCTGAAGATTATACTTGCCGTGAGGAGCCCGCGCTTGCAACTGAAAGGTCCTAGAAGTGCCTTGCAAGACATAGCTGGCTTCGCCAGCATCGTCGGATTCACGGACTAAAACTCCTTCTTTCCACTCAACGTGTACCAGGCGCATTTGGCCTGATGTCGTAGTGTAAGCTTAGAATTTTAATGATCACAGGAGTGGCGTCACCTGCGGGAATCACATCTGGGAACGACCAAACTTCCATTTGGTAGGAGTGTTCGTTGGTCTTGACCCAATCATACGGGGTACCGTTAATTAACACAACGTTGCCTCCCTCTCCCATTATGAAGTCTGCCTGCAGTACCTCGGTGAGTGTTGGGCCAGAAGAAGCAATGACAGCGCACTAACTAGTCCGAGTATAAATTGATGTGCGTCAGAATTATCAATGCGGGGAGCACTGGCAGTCTCTGCGTTCGATAGATCTATGAGTAATATCGCGGTGCTGCAGAGCAAATCCACGTACGTTGCTAAGGTGAAATGAATGCGCGAGCCGTCCTGCCCCGCAATGCTGGATATAAATACTGCACTGTCTGACATCAGCGAAACGGGTAGCGAGGCCGTGATGGTGACCAGCCAGCGCGCCGCGGCGGTGGAAAAGAGGTGCACACTGCGCATGCTTTATCGCGTCGGCCGAACAGTATATGCGAACATGCCGAGAGCTGCAACCGCCTAACGACAGGTGGTTGGTGGCCAGTGACTAATGACCAGCTAGCCCTTTGTCGAACGTAAAGGCGGGAATGCTCAACAATAGAGGCGAGAGTCTGATCGACGCCGTTTGCTGTCATGCCAAATCTCTCAAATGTACACGTATCATCCAGTTATAGCGCTGATGATAGAATATGATGATATAATGAGAAAGCGACGTCTAAGATGAAGCTCTCTACTGAATGACTAGCACTCTTGGCATTCATCTGCGTCTTTAAATAATAGAGCAGGACTACCCGTCACAACGCTACTGCATGCATTCTTTTTGGGAGAATTGTCGTGCATGCGGTAACATAGTGTAACGCGAACAGTGCGAGTACTGCCTTAGACGGCACAACACTCTGTCATGTCCCACCCCGGAATATCTATACCCAGTCCAACCGTCGCAATACTGCTGCGAATAACAGCAGCATGGTCTGGCGAAGGGGTCGGTACAGATGGGGCTGCGAACACAGGGGACGGCGTCTCTGCATCGTCCTCGTCAAGGAACCAGCAGTCAATGTGGATGCCAAGCCCGACGTGCGCGGTGACCGTGGTGGTCATGGTATCGGACGGCAATCCGAGACCAAGACCGACGGTAGGCCTGATGTGCGAAAATTGCACGTCTAAAACCGGAACAGTAAGTAAAAGTATGCAGCTAGCAGTAGACGGATGCACTCACTGTCAGGACCTTCCGTCGAGTTCATGAAGAAGTGAGAATAGTAGACAGTCATGATGATAGACAATAATGCCAGTGGTAGTACGAGTATAAGAAGTATTAAGGTGGAAAGCATAGTGCAGAGGACTTTATAGACTTTGGAGCTTTGTACTTGTTAGCGGGCCAAACAACTCGCGGTACGTTCATTTTGAGGACAGCACGTTGGTTTGTTTGCACGACGAGTAGCATGAGGCCGGCGGAAGACTTGTAGGAGGAAGGAATTTTGAGAGTGCTGCCTTGAGAGGCCATGCCGCATCGTGAAACGTCGGGAGCAACAGCAGAAGGGCCGTGGGAAACACACTTTGGTATACAGCTGAAATTTGATCGCCGGAATAGCCGCGTTGGGAAACCGGTCAGATTGTAATCCGGGCTGGTGCAGCAAGGTCAAAGGCGAATATGGAACTATTGCTAACACTTGTATGGTCAGGAACTCGGACAAGAGATCGAGTGAGAAGTACTTTGATCAGGATTCGAATATTCAGGCTTCGAGACTGGCTGCAGCGCGCGCGACTCGGATGCGAGCTTGTAAGCTTGGACGCGACGCGACGCGAGTCAATCGAGCGCCTGGCAGTCCCCAAGCCTAGTAAGCCGCAACCACCACCAGTCGTCATCACATATCCGCCACAATGCGCGTGAGCATCACGGAAAATGAATAATTCATACATCTTACTGCATTTTGCTAGCTGATTGCAGCCCTATAACGCGCTGGACATCACACGCCTTCTCCATACAAAGAACCAGCTCCGATAGAATCTACAGCTTCAGGATTGGCGGGATAGACGATAGCTTCTGAGCTCGAGTTTTGCAGGACACGTTCTAGATGCCTCCTCCCCCGCAGGTTGTACAATGGCTGAAGCGGAGCTATTCTAGGCCAGCTGTTGATCCAGTAAGCTGCCAGATTAGTCGCCCTGAGTTAAGATTGATCCACTCGATATTGCAGGACTGGCTCGAAGGCTGCTATTCATGGATCGAATCTGAGTTACAGCTGGACCCTGCCACTGACATGGATGCCATTCTCTACAACATCGAGACACAGCTCTTGCAGTCCAACCTCGAGGGCTCGATGCTCCCGGGCACTGGCCTCCCCACGAACGTCGCGGACCTCAATAACACGAAGCTCACAGGACCGACCGTCCTTGTCGAGATTGTCTCCATGACCGAAATTGGACACAGCGCGTTCAGTTTGCAGAACGTCCGGCAGGCCCGCCTCGAACGCGCGGATTTGGCCGGACTTGCCGACGAAGAGGACGAAGGACAGGGCGGCGAGGAGGAAGGCCCTGTACCCAAGTATCCGAGATCGATGCTGAGATTCCAATTGACGGATGGCTCGACCGTCCTCAACGCCATCGAGTACCGCCGCATACCTGAGTTCGAGCTCGGGGTTACGCCACTAGGTTACAAGGTGAGCTGCTGCTTCAGAGTCGGGTTTGTGCGAGCCTCTGCACTTCTCTCCCCTCCTCCCCACAATGCTTCTGGCTTTCATCTACCGCTGCATTGATATTAGGCGGCGCGATAGAAACCTCGGTAGCGAACGCCGCTCATCGGACAAGAACTTGATGCACCGAGAAACGTAACTGACCGCTGTGTGACAGATGCTTCTAAAGGACGTGTCCATTCGCCGGGGGATCGCCTGGCTGGAACCCAAAAACGTCATTCTTAAAGGGTACCAGACGCAGGAACGCCAAGACATGCAAGACAGTGATTTTATGCGCAGGCTCAATATCCGCCTTGGGTACGTATTCTGAATTCCGTGCCGGGAACCTTGCTTGACGCCGCGCCTCGTTAGCAAACCTGAGAGCACGGTTGTCCGCGCCCTAGCACCTCTCGCAGACCCAGCGCCCGCCGCCAATTCTCTGCCTATCGCACAGCCCGTCCCAGCACCACTGGCGCATGCCTCGGACAACAACTCTAGCACACGTGCGGCTCGGCCGTCGGCCTCGGGGGGCCGCGCGCCTCTGCAGCAAATTGGAGAGCCTAAGTTACCAGTGGCCGGGCCTTCCAACTCCCACGCCGACGACGAAGAGCAGCCTCGCCGGCGCAAGGTGCCCGCACGCAGTCCGAGTCCGGCTCGGAAGGACAGACCAGTCGTATCTCGGTACTTCGCTTCGGGCTCAGGCGCTGCCAAAGACAAGGCAAAAGAGCTCGCAAGCGAGCTGCAGTTGTCACCACATCGACAACCCGCCTTATTCCTGCCCGAGAGTGACGAAGAGCACGAGTCCGTAGCTAAATCCTCTCACCCAGCGTCAAAGGCGAACAAGGATACCGACTGGAAGGTGACCTTGGCCGGCGGAGACGACAGTTCAGAGTACGACTTCGACCTGGGTGTCGACGAAGGAGAGATGCTCGCGGCGCTGGACAAGGTCGAGAAGGAACAAGGCCGACGCGGCTCGTCCGTGACGGCATCGTCAGCCGCAGCTCCCTCGTCAAGCAGCCGTATCGCTACGTCGTCAGGCAGTCGTATTGCTACGTCGGGCCGGGCTGTGCAGGACACTGAAATCATCGAAATTGACGACGATGAGGGCGAGAAAGAGAATGTGCTAGCGCCGACAAGGCATGTGAGGCGGCGGACGGCATTTCAACGGTCTTCGCAGGTGGTGATCAATGATGATGATATTATCGAGCTGTCGGATTGACCTCTCCTGGCTACGAGAGAAGCACATTATAATTTCCTGTGGTATTGACGATGTAATGCTCAAGATCATACAAATTCTACTCTGACTCGTTCCTGAAGTAGCACATTAATGGTAGATTAACGAGAGCATACCTATGCGTGCTACACAGTTACCTTGGCTCAGCCAAGGATAGCGACCTTCTGCTTCTTTTTCTTGCCCTTAGAGCTCGTGAAGGATCTCCAGCTACCAACTCTCTGTTCTCTTCCAGCTGCGCGCACGCCTACATGAGCGAAGAAATGGAATACGGCAAGTAGGGCTAACCTTCCCATGTGGCTTCATCTTCAGCTTTCCGCTTCTTTGCCATGACCTCTTCCTCCTTCTTGCGGGCTTCGAGACCCTCATTTGCTAGGTTCATCTTGACTGCCCTTTATGCAACAACTTAGTTGAAGTATGCAAGCACAGGAATGATTACACGCACTTTCGTCTGCGCACCTCTTCCTCAATGAGTACTTCCTTCGACTTGGCGCGCAGCTGCTGCTTCCACGACGGCGTTATGCTCTTGAGCCGAGCGTCGCTGTCCTCTAGTGTTGTCGGGAGGTTCATACCCTTGAGCAGCACCACGCGAGCCTGTTTGATGACAGCATCAAGCTCTTCGCGCTTTGCCTCGTCGGATAGCTCGGACTCCGCCTGCACAGGTTCAGATGAGTATATGCCCCTCTCTCACCATTAAGAGAGAGACTGACCTTCTTGAGGAGATCGAAGGCATCTGGAGCACGAGCATGGGGGGTCTTGTCAGGATGGATGACTAGTACACGGGTAACGTACGTTTAGCATTCTTCGCTCAACTAACGGCATCATTCAAGTAAAAGCGCAGGGGACGTGGGCGCCGAGCCTCGAGGGAAGCGTAGCCTACGGCCCATGGGCGGTGGAAGGTGGGGGTAGATGCTCACAGAGCGAGAGCTGCCTGTACTTCTTCTTGATCTCTTCAGCTTTGGCGGATTCGTCTATGTCGAGTATCTCGTAAGGGCTTTCTGCGGTTCAGCATGAGAGACAAAGGGAGAGAGAGCTGGGAGACGCACTTGAGCTTGAATGCTTTGAGAATACGCTCGACCTCTATCTCACGCTGGAACGCCGTCGCTTCGCGATTTAGGAGCTTCTCGATGTCGACATCGTCGGCAGCCGGAGTCGCAGATTTGCTGGGAGCCACAGAAGTGGAAGAAGAGGCTTGCTCGGACATGGTGATGAACGAAGAGTGCGCGGAGATTATGGCCCGCGGACAGTCGGGCGTCGGGATGGCGGGAGAGAGCAAGAGGCTGTAGACGCCGTGAGCGGCATTCATGAACTCCTTCCGCCACGTCCGACTCGCTACTCAGCGACATCGGTGTGCTGCACCCCGTCTGTCCTCTCGAGTACCATCTGTACGTTGACATTCGCAATGCATTATAGTCACAACTAACACGTCACAGTGTAGATCATGGTCTTTCAGCAAACTCAGAGATCATTTTGCAACTGCCAAAGGCAGGCCGTATGCTACGGAAGCGGGCCCGGCCTCGTCCTCGAGTAGTTCCACCCTGAAGCCTCCACCACAACGGCCTATCCAACCACAGCATGCCTTTGCATACAGAGAGAAGATGTACAAGGCCCGGAACAGGAGTCTTCTCATGTACACCTCCGCCGTGGTACGCCCGTGGCCATTAACACCCCGAATCCCGCCCTTCATTCAAAGTTGCATATGCGTAGATCATTGCTGGCGTCGGCGTGACTTATGCCGCCGTCCCACTCTATCGTATGTTCTGTGCTGCGACGGGCTTCGCCGGGACACCCAAGGTCGGCATGGGCAAGTTCGAGGCAGATAGGATGGTTCCTGTAGAAGAAGCCAAGCGCATTAAGGTGCACTTCAATGCAGACAAGTCAGATTCGCTCCCTTGGTCGTTTATCCCTCAGCAAAAGTTCATCAGCGTACTGCCCGGAGAGAGTAGTTTGGCATTCTACAAAGCGAAGAATACGTCCAACAAGGATATTATTGGCATTGCGACGTATAATGTTACGCCAGACAGGGTATGCTGGCCGCGATTAAGCATTCGTTATCCCTTATTTTAGCCTCCTCAGGTTGCCCCCTACTTTGCCAAGGTTGAATGCTTCTGCTTCGAGGAGCAGAAGCTGCTCGCCGGCGAAGAAGTCGACATGCCTCTATTATTTTTCATCGACAAAGACATCCTTGACGACCCTGCATGTCGGAATCTGGACGACGTTGTGCTTTCCTATACGTTCTTCCGGTGAGTGACCCAGTCGGCGCCATACTACTGCTGAAAACTCATATGTTACTTAGAGCGCGAAGGAATGCTCATGGACACCTTGAGCCTGACGCCCCAAACGATGTCGTACAAGCCTCACTGGGCTTTGATAAGTATGAGATGGCTCCAAAGGTTGAGGGCCGAAACAGGTCTACTGAGGAAGACAAAGCGTGAGGCAGCCGTCGTCTTCGGGACAGAGCTTGGTACGCTCGGCTGCCTAGCGTATCCTTGGTCGATATTGCAGAGTCTCGCCTTGCTTTCTGTCGTCGTGCTATCTACTCGCATATTAATGTCACACTACACCACTCAGTCCACCAAGATTACTACGAACAGCTATTTTGTCTGACGAAATGCCCTTCGAGATCAATTTATGCATAGCATATGCACATCATGGCGTTCCCTCTGCCACCAGCTTCTCTTTTTCTTTTGCAAGCACAGCAAGACACCCGCCCTCCATAGCAGTCTCCCACAGTTCAACCTTCGCCCTCTTAATCTCCTCTGCCAGCTGGGATCGCATGAGACGTGCACGCCTGATGATGTCTTCACGATCCTTCACCTGGTTCACGCTCGTGCTCGGAGCTTTTGGGGGCACAACGACCGAAGGCGCGGCGAGGAATGACGGGACGCGCGAGCGTTGTTGAGGAGGCAAATATGCTTCGAGAGTCTTGCGCAAAGGTTCGAGGGCGTCAAGCATGGCGAAAGGTGGTGCCCACTGTGGTTGAGGCGGCGGCGGCGGCATGATAGGGATGTCGAACTGTCGCACTTGCTGGTGCTCCGGGGATTCAGACTCTCTGCTGGAGCCGCTGGTCGCAGGATCCACGGTCATAGGAGAGTCTTCGCCATCCACGTCAATAACCTCCCGCCTTTTGCCCTTGTCTTCTGATGACTTCCCTACCTCTCCCATCCCGTCTGCGCGTTTTGCGTTTTTGATCAACACTTGTCTTCTGAGATCTTTGCGAATCTTTGACCCACCTTGGTCGCCCCTCATTTCGCTACCTCCTCTCTCGGAACCCGCAATGTCTGGCTCAGGAAACTGGAAGTTCCAATTCGGCGTTGGCGGATCATACTCCGCTTGGGACATTGGCGACCCTACTAAAGTAGGCGTTGGCGGGGCGCCGCTCCCTAAGGCCATATTTGTCGTCTGCATAGACGGCTCCGCTGGCCGACGTTGCTCTTCCGCACCAATGACCGTATGTGGAGGAGGATCAGAATGGGGCAATGCCAACAGCTCCGGGTCAATGGCGAAGTCAGGCTGCAGCGAGGACGTCAAGTCAAGATCGAGCGCATCTGGGTCGGCGGCAGACGCATCGGCTATCGCCCCTGTCGATAATCCACCGGCAGGCCCATCCGCGGAGGCAGCCAAACCAGTCATATCAAAGGCGGCGGCGAAATCGAAGTCCTCAAGATTGATGGAGCAGGAATTCGTCGAGTTCGAATGTGCGTGAATGTCACTGGCAAGCAGGTCGTTCAAAATCGAGAGCCACTCGTCAATATTACCTTGAGTGTTGATCGTTGTTTGCTCGAGGATCTGATCCGACATCACTTCGCTCATGCTGGCTGGGGCCGCGTGTGTGCCTTCGTGTTGGGTAAGGCGAGCGGCGTTTTGTGATTCCGTTGCTGGCGTGAATTGCGTTGCGACCGCGGAGGCGTGCGTAGCAGAGGACGCTGGTGATCTTGATGGCACGATAATCTCTTCGGAGTGACGAGCATCCGCAGATGGTGCTGACAACTGTCCTGTTCTTGATGTCACTGGTTGATTCTCAATGCTTGGCAACACCCGAGTAGTTGCCTCCTTGGCGGTCTCGCGGAGAACAGGCAGCTGTGTTGTGACAGTCGCGAACGAGTGTACCGGCTGGAGCGTTGGATACCCTTCGTACCTCCCTTGTAGCCGGTAGTGCCTGAGGACCCTCTCTCGATAGTACTCCACTGAACCAATCGCAGGTTTGCCCTTCGAGGTCGTCTTACCCTGCGCCCCGCCGTGCGCCTTCTGCACTGCTGCCTTTTTCGCTGCGCTCTTCACAAGGCCAATGAGGTCTTCGACTAGCTGCTGCCCTCTGACCTTCTGCCAGTTCTGGTAGTAATCTGGAGGTCCTTGGCCTTCTGGAAACGGATAAGGGACATCCCACTCATCCGCGCCGGCAGGTACGTAATTCAGCTTCCGTTTCTTCGTTTGAGGTTGGCTCGAAGGGGCCGGCGGCTGTTGGTATGCGGACGCCGCGGGCGGATAAGTGTGGCCGCTGGGGTAGGGTTGGTACGAATAGGGACATGGGTCGTATGGTTGAGGGCTCGAATAATATCCTGCTTGATCGCCGGGCGTGGTCGCGGTAGAAGAGCTATAAAATGCGCTGGAGGCCGGGGGAGGGGGGAAGGCAGAACCAGCGACGAGACGGATCAGAGCATCCATTATTGGTATGAGGTTCTTTTGCTTCACCAGTTTCTGTAGAATCTCCTCGGTCGATGGCACAGGCAATCTGCTTGTAGGCACCGCTGTCTGTAGCGGATGACGGCCTATGGACGGCTGAGCGCCTTCATCTTCGACAACGATTGGGTTTTGCGAGGTCTTGCCACGGAGATGCCTCTGCAAGGACAAATTTGCCGGATGAACACCAGACACGAGGCCTGCGTGGCCCAGCAAAGCTTGTTGATTACGGAGAAAATTGGCCGGTGGCGGGTCAGTGAGGGGAGGAAGCTCAATTGGGGGGGGAGTCGGACGTGCATCCGAGGCCGGTGTGGTGCGCCTACTGGACCGCTTTTTCTTCCGAGGTGGCGGTACAAAACGCGAGGCAGATGCAACAGAGCTAAGGGGCACAGTCGAAGACCTGAGTGGCGGGGTATGCTGTGTGACAATCGGAGGCTGAGAGCGCTGCCGCGCAACATTGATTCTCGTATTTACATCGGGCGCTGGCGGAGGTACTGACGGCAGTTCAGAATACAAATGGGAACCAGGAAGTGCAAGGGTCCCCACGTTTTGCACGCTGTTCTGCCCACCAGGCAGAGCTAGCGGAGACGACGACCTACCTCTGCCCGGTGAGGGCGGGGGCGAGCCGAAGAGAGAGTCGATGTCAAAGTCATCGTGCTGCTCTGCGACGTTGCCGTCTGGCATTCCACGATGTTGCAGAGGCTGGTATCGGCTTGTGAGGTGGGCTCTAGTAGCACAGAGGAAAAATTGAAGGCACCTGGGATGCCCGCTACGGTCTCCAGTTCAGAGTTCAGAGTAGAGCGAAGTCCAGCGTGAAGGCCAAAAAACGTGGTCGCTCAAAGCCACGCTCTATATAGAGTTCTAGTCAGATGCAGTAGGGCCTAAGAGATGTGCGAGACGAACCGCAGGACTAACGAGAATGACCTCGAGGCCAAGGTTCGTGGATGTCGCAGAGGACGACGAGAATAACCCTCAGCCGACGGTGTGCCATAAGCGCTAATGGCGCTTAGATCACGTGTGGTTCAAGCGGGAACCCGGGGCGTCATTGGTGATCTCTTGGGTCGCTGCTTGTTTCCTCCCGACTCCCACCAACCTCCACCGCGCCCTAACTTTGGCTGGTCGCTGACAGCTGGCCCCGACGACTGCGTATCTTATCTGTGACCCACCCCGTTCACGCGCATCTGGGAGCTTCGTCTGCCTGTATGACGACAGGACTCTACAGGACATGCCGGCATCGAAGACCTGCTCTACCAACGCAGAGGATCAGCAACGATGTAGATGTACAACGAATTGAGAACTGCTTTCCTATATTTCCCATGATAGGACAACATTCAGATGCCTTATTCCTGGGAACGCTTGCCTTTTAAGTCATGTCGCGAATCATATGTCAGGCCGTCAAGGCAACCTTCCCTTCATCGGTGAATCTAAGCCCCCTTGTATATCTGCCACCCATGTTAAACCTTACCGATGTAGGTTTCATACTACCGACTCGTGTCCCATTTCCATGTTGCCAGCCACAATTGTTGCGCCCAACCGAACGGCGGGTGTGGCTGTGCAGGTGATGGTATATAGTCTGCCACTCCAGGACGCCTCCCAAACTCAAATCACCCCGCACTCTTCGACGCTCAGCCTACCCAACCAACATGTCTACCAGTTACCACACATACAGGCCCAGGCCTCACGCCCCTACCCTCGACCGCTACTACTTCCCAAGCAGCACATCTGCACCGGACCCTGACCTGCTGGCCAGGCAACAGGAGTCGGAGGACAGCAAGCGAGAGAGACTGTACCAACGTATCATGGAAAGCCGGGGGTTGGCATCTCCGGCTCTGTCGTCGGGCAGCAGTCAGCGGTCATACCGCTCATGACGCGTCGTGTTAAGCGAAAGCGGGCTGTACGTCAGTGCTACTCCATGGCTGGGATGGACTTTAGCTGACAGTCGCTGTTGGCAGACTCGCCGCACAATAACCTTGTACCATCATCACCAGTATAATCTTGCACATCTGCAAACAGCCGAATACCGCTGGCTCAGCACCACGCCAACCATCACGATTCTGCATCATATCATCGTTATTTATTTGTATCCTTATTCCCTACATTCAACGGTCCCTTAATTCTCCCTTTCCCTATGCTCATTGCTATCGCTATGCTCATGTTCATACGCAACGCTCAATAAGAATATGCTACCCCAACATCCTCTCCTTGCCTTTTCCTCGTGTGGCGCAATTGCTTCTCATCTTCTCCCGCAACCTCCCACGGAACGATATCGGATTCTCAGCTTACTACTAGTAGTGAACACAGACCTGCTAGCTTACAAACTTGATATGGCCTGTCCAGATGTGCAGTCCCAGGCGGTTCTCTTCGTTCGGCGGCATGCCTTACGCAAGGTCCGTCCGCGAGGCGTCGAGCCGTGCCAATTAATGGATATCTATCGCCGTCTGCGCAGTACGTTTCCTGCATGCCTTGCATTTCAATGAACCTGACGCGCATTGTACATCGCTCTGTAACAATCACGGCGCGGGCGTGGAAACGCATGCTGGGCGCAGCGGATGTTTCCTTGAGCGTCCCGCAATGGCGTCTCCAGCAGCCAGTGCGCCACACTATTAGCTCCGAGGTAGTCTGTGCATTGACGTCTTTGACTAAACGGCTACTGACAGAACCTTTTACGAACGGGTCTGATATATGACAGATCCTAGACATCTACGGCCTGTGAATTGCAAAACAACAGGAACTCTGGCAAACTGTCCGGTAAGAACCGTACGACCATTCATGTTCACTCCTCCCTAGGGATCGGCGAGTCTGTATCAGGATAGCTGCTGGCCTCTCCCAGCCATCCCAGTCAAATCAAATACACCTGTCTCAAGGTGCTGCGATCACTACTTCCCGCATGTTGCTTGTAGCAAGTGGCAATCTCTGCAGTGCATTCGCACTTGGCTGACACCGCTCAGTGTTGGCCCATCATCCATCAATATGTGACAGCGCTGACCATGTTTGTAAGTTGCAGAAACCCAGCAGTCTCATGCATAGCAACGTATTAGATGAGACGACGGTCGTTATGTACGAGATACGCAAAAGAGCACGATCTCGTATAAAGGCTCGACGCAGCCGCAAGAGTTTGCTTCGAAAACTTGAACGTCAAGCATTGTTAGCATCGTTCATACCGTCATACCGTGTAATTTCTCCGCTGCTAAGCTATACCTTGGCCTCGCTACACTCACCTCCATCATCTGCGTCTACCTGTCTCCCGATGAGCCATCGCATTGCACTCAGGTGTTGCCACCTGCCACCATCGCGGCATCTTTCCCCTTGGCTTACGTTTTTCTCTCAGCACGGTCAGCCCGGAAATGCGGCGCGAGGCGCTAAGAACTAGGTTCGTCAACAGCCTGAGGTTCAGAGGCTACCCGCAATATAAGTCAGTTCAAACTCAATCCTACCGTGCCACCGCCGAGACTCACCGCGGGAGCAACGACTGTACCTGCGGTCTAAGTCCCAGGCTATTCACTCGCCCGCTGTCGCTCCCGGGACGACATCCTGCCACGTCATTGGAGGCGTCATCGGGCGACATCCAATCCTTCGCCCGTTGCGGAAAGTTGCGCGGAACCCTCGGGCGTCCTGGGCATCATAGTTCTCTTCCCCGCTAACCATAACCAACAAGAACGCCCCGAGGGTGCGTCATCGTATCTGGGTATGCCCTAGCACCCGGGGACACCCCAGTTCTTACCATACCCAGCGAGTGCCGCCAGTTCGGCATCATTCAAGTCGACAGGACCGGAGAGACATCTTTGCGACGAAGTCCGCAGTGCATCTAGCCGAGAGCATCCTGCCTTCGAACGAGAATGGTTTTTGAGGTATGACCCACAAAGTACGCCGTCGCAGACCAAATGACATGCCATAAGCCTATCCCGAAGCTGAGTGCACAGGTGACTGCCAATTTGCATGTAACTCAATACGCTACGTTATCTCTTCCCGTGAATATCATGCCAGTGGTCTCTTTGATCTCAACAGGTGTTAGGTGTCCAGCTAACCATAAGACAAATTCGAGTCAAAGCTGTCGCACCGGTTTTGGTAAAGTCCCTGAGGCCCCTCGCTGATCTCAAATTGAATTGGATTCATTCAGTGATGGCTAGCGAGTCGACATCGGGGCAGCCGCTCAGACTAGGCTCATGATCGGCCTACTGGATATTCGGTGGAGACACGTACCTAAGGTGGAATGGTGGTCAGTGCGCTGGCACCTTGCACGAATATCATGCAGGGTGGACCGCGCTCCAAACCATGTATATCCTCAAATCTGCCTACAATCGTGATTCCCAGGAATTACTGCATGCCCTAAGTGTCGCCAATGAATATGGTGCATCGCATGAACATCGCACCACAACGTAGTTGGCCCTTGTACTATGTTGTGCAGCTTAGGTTGATCGCTAACTGCACCAGCTTCTACACCACAAGGCCGTCGCGAGGCGTCCTCGGATACCACCGTACCACTGTCATGTTTCCGGACTACAAGGTAGCGATGGATGCTCTTCTAGTATAAGAGACGCGCAGCACGCTGCAAAAGCGGCGCATAATAGTTCGTATCATCAGCCGCCTCGTATCGTGTCGCATCATCCTCTGTTGCTGAAATATTATGCCTCGAAAGAGCCATCGCCACAATCTCAAGGACGCCAACCCAAACGAGAGCTATCCGCCAGCTGGTGGAAAAATACGCCACATCCGAGGCTGGCGGACCTTCTTCTCGGCAGGCCTGCTGCGGCCAAGTGCGCCACATGATCCACCCAACTCAACTCCGTCCGAGTCGGCGAGCCCTTTAGAGAGTGTGGCGCCAGGCAGCAATCGCAGCAGAGGCCCTCTCCCTCAAACTCAGGCTCATCCTGCACGCGACGCTGGCAGTCACCAGCCTAAGCCGAACACGAAACGTCGTGCAGGCCCTGCCGCCAAGGTAGACACATGGCCTTGGGACCCCAAAGCGTACCCGGTCCGCAGGTCCACAGCTGCTTCCGCCCGCGCCACTGGGAATCACAGTCGACCGTCTTTGCCGGCAGACTGCATCGAGTCCCGCAACCTTTTCGTCGAAAATGCTCGCCCGCCAGGTGAGTCGAAGTTGCCTGGCATCAAGTAGCTGCGAGGCGATTGAATAGGCCACGGCAGAACCGTCAGCAGCAGCTTCAAGCGGGGTCGTGAATGATCCAGACATTGCTGAATACCAGAGGTCTCGGCCTCCAAAAATGGCAAGCGGAGCCGTTCAACCGAGCCGTAATTTACGAGGCTCTGGATCACAAGCCAGGCTAGATAAGGACCATATCAGCAAATGAGGGCACAGGTGATTGTTGGGGAGGGCTGGAATTCTGGAACTCGGCGTGTAGCTCATCTTCCCTTTATCCCATGTTTCCTCACTTAGTGCTGGCCATTTGTGCTGCTTTCAGACAGCCGGTACGTTCATGCCCAACCCAGGAGAAGAATGTATGAAAGATGCAGGTAGCTACAACATAGAACGAACCAAGACACAGCACGGCGGAGGACAGGGACGGGCTACAATAATTCACCAGCACCATGGCAACTCTGTTCGGCGACACCACTCCCTTAACGAGCTGTTCCTCATAACGAGACATGTGACGCTCATGGCTCCCGCCAAGACAGGTGTAGGTCCCACCGCTCGTCCGCCTGCGCAGCTGGCTGGCATGGCGGTTTATGCGTGTCCAACGCCGCCCATCTGCACTGGAGGGGCAGGTTGGCCCTCGTACGGGTGAGGTGGCACCGGCGCGCCAGGAGGAGGCATCATCATCGGGTAGGGAACAGTATGTTGGACTATTAAACCATCGTTAACTCTTGTCATGGATTGCCTAAGCTCGGGAATACGCACGCTGTGGGCTCTGATGGTAATATGGGTGGGCATGCGACGGGATGGGAGTGGGAGGCATCGACGGCCTTGGACCGGTGCCGTTCGGTGGCGGCGGGTAAGCACCAGGAGGGGGCATGAATGCAGTGGGAGCTGGAGAAACAGTGAGGCTAAGCCCCCACTTCAGACGAGCATACTATCACTTACGTGGCATCTGACCCATGGGAGTCCCAGGGTACATGGCTGTCATGTATGCATTATTAGCATCTGGCTGCGATGAAGGTCCGCTCGGGTACCAACCATTTGGTGGTGGCATGTACGGATAGGGGATAGGCTGCATATACGGGGGCATGTGGCCAGGAGGAGGGGGCATACCCGGCATCATAGGCTGCAGCGTCGTCAGTACCGAGTACACCTAAGCATAGCAAACAGAAGTGTACCTGTCCGGGATAGCCATATGGCGGATAAGCATAGACATAACCACGAGCGGCGGCCTGAGCTGCTTGTGCGGCTGGATCTGACGATTGGTCCTCATAGGTCGGAGGGGGCATGGGAGCAGGGGGCCCTGGATGAGCCATGTGCGGGGATTGTTGTTGTGGAGGGGCCGGAAGAGGGGGAAACATGGTGATGTAACGCTTGCCATTGTAAGGCCACTGCGGCGCAATCTGCGATGCTTCAACAACCTTGGCGTACTTGAACGAATTGAAATCATCTTTGATATGAGCGGGGGGCGTCTTCTTTATTGGACGAGTACCAAAGAAGGGGTTCGGCGGGCCCTGTGTCGCAGCTTGCTGTTCTTTGGCCTTAGGAGAGCTGGAAGGCTGGGCACTCTTCGGCGTAGGCCGGAATGACGATGCGTTGACGTTCAAGCGGTTGGCTGCAGTCGGGGAAAGCGGTGTGGGTGCAATAGCGTTATGGCTCGAGTTAGTCCGGGTAGTGGGAGGCTGCGTGCCATTGACGCCAGGAGCAGGGCCGGATGACGCAGGCGTAGCCGAAGGACGTTTGCCCTTGAACGGTGGGATAGACTGTATGAACATCGATATCCTCTTCCCACCTGCGCCGTCCTTCCCGGGAGGGCTGGTTGAAGACGATGCTTTGACCAAGGCTGGAGGCGTTTTGGAGCCAGCCCCAGGTTGAGGAGAGCCGGAAGTAGAAACTTTAGCCGCAACTGGAGTGCCACCAATACGAGCAGAAGTAGCAGAAGCTTGGATATTCGGGGTTCCAGTAACGGTCAAGTTGGAAGGGCCGATGGTGCGTGCTTGAGCAGATTCGGCATCCTGAGTCGACTTCTCCCGGATTTGCCGTTGCTTCTCTTCATCTTTAGCTAGAATAGGAACCAGGTCTTCAGGAATAGGCTTCTTCAACTAAGAGAGAGGATCCGTGTGAATAATCGCTATTACACAGATACGAGATGGCATACCTTGAAGGTCTGACCGAACTTGACGAGGTCGGCCATGCGTTTGTCCATCTCGTGCTTCATGAGGGCTTGCTTCTTCTTCATGAGCCTATCCCGCTCGTTCGAGACGAAGTCGCGGAACGCAGGGAGAGGATCAGCCGGCTGATTCATTACATCAGCGAAGGGCCCAGTATTCGGTTCTCAGCACGGAAATTACCTTAGCAGCGCCGGTAGCAGGTGCAGGAGACGCAGGCTTCTGGGTCTCCTTCACGCCAGAGTCGTCTGGACCGTTGATCGAGACTTTCGGGATCTCAGGCTTGGCGGAAGTGGTGGACGGGGCGGGTGAGCTGCCGTTCACGTTAACTACGGCAACAGCGGCCTTTCGTGCACCAGGAGGGACATAGGCGTTTGCGCCCCTGACAACAGCGCCATATCTGTTATGTCACGATAAGACTCTCGTTGAAGTCTTATTCCAAGAGACTGCATACCGGTCCTCCTCGTTTATGCCGTTCTCGCCGACGAAGTCTATCTTGCGCTCTTCAGCAACGTGAGAGTTGCTTGTGGCACCCTGTCACGGATACCGTCATGGAGCCATAAACACCACCACGGTACAGACACGTACCGACATAATTTCAGCTGCAACCTGCTGAGCCCTCTTCTCCTTCTCCTTGAAGTCGGGGGCGTTTCTATCGAGTTTGGTGGTGTACGCCTCCTCATCGAAATTTGCCTTTACACCAAACAACTTCTCGTTTGCGGCAAACTGGTCCCATTGGCTACCGCCTGACGAAGCGCCGGGACCGAAGGTATCGTCGTCGTTATGGACATAACGTCCTCCGGTGCCCGAAGCGTTCGTGTTGTCTGGGATATCGTCCGCCCATGCCTGCAGAGGCCGCTCACGGGAAAGGCTGTTTGCTTTGCTGATATCTACGTCAGTCTTGAAGCCTGCACGTATTGCGTGAGTGGAGGTGATTGAAGGTACATAAGCAACTTACTATCGCCGTTGGTCAGTTTGGCGTCGGCAGGTCCTGATGACCAAGTGTCAATGTTGGTAGAAGCAATGAACAGAGACTCCTTGAGAGGTTGTCCAGGGTTTAAGATCTCCTTCACGTCCTTCAAGGTGACACCCTGGGTATCGCCTTCGCCGCTTGTCGAACCAATCACGCCCTCATACCGCTGGCCAATCTTCGTCGAGAGTGTGACCGTAGTTCCCTGCAGCGCAAGGACACCAAATCAATATCCGTATGCAAACATCTTTCTTGTATATGCAGCCCTGACAGGGCTTCAAAGTTCGCCGTGCACAACGTGAAACAAGACGGATCGCGCTAGACGCCAAGAGACTGGCGAGGCATAATGAGGCCGTGGTAGAGGTACATACCGTCAGTCCAGAGAGCTGCTGAAGTACACGATCCTGCGGACGATCCGTCCGTGGAGCGCCATTCTGGTTTCCCGGAGGCGGGAATGGCCCGTTGGAGGGAGTTTGTTGGCCGGCTGGCAAGCGAGTGTTGGGCATGCCAGGAGAGAAGGTAGGGGACCCGCGAGCTCCCGTCCATGCCGATGGACGTCTGTTCGCATAAGAGAAGCGCGACTGTGTCAGACATACAAGTCGGCGTATGATGATATGGCAGCAGGAACAGACCGAGCAGTAGTTTCGGGCATACCACCCTTGCGTGGGGGTTTAGGTTGCCTGGTCGCAGCAGCCATCGAGTAATAATCCCTCAGGGAGTCTCAGAGTTAAGGGTGAAGTCGTAGACACAGGTAGACCAAGACGAGAAGGCGAGATGGTAGAAAAGAAAACAGACAACGAGAATGGGGAGATAACGTTGCCGCAGCGAGCCTAGAGGTGGGCGGGGATGCCGGGGACGTATGTGACGAGCTCGGCGGTGATAGGTGCAACGCTGTCGTTGAAAGCCTCCGTGGGGCTGCAGGAAAAGGGCGGACGTCGAGGACGAAGTGACGAGAGGGGAAAGAGGAGATTCGGGACAGTTGTGTGCACAGACCTTTGATGTATACCCAATTTCATTGCGGAGGCATTGGCGCGGACCCCGGGCACCACCTGAACGTGAACACCCTCCGGATGTCTCTCAGTTCCCAATATTTCAGGCTGGCTCGTCTCATTGACTGCTTCTGCACTGCGTCGCAACCTCGCAGGGTGGCGTTCTGCCAACCGGAGGTGCAATCTGCTTCCGTCTGCCTCAACCGAGGCCCCGTAATGGGCCATCTTCGGGGTCTCGCCTTGCCATGTTGACAACCGTATTTCCCTCCGCGAATCCATATTCGAACGCTGCAGCAGCTGATTTGGACACGGTCGCCCTCGTCTCCCATGACGGGCACCAACGAGGGCCATGGCGAAAGCAGGCCGATATCTGAGGTCCAAAATCGCACAAATTCGAAACCCAAGCTTAGCATTACGAGAAGCAACGAGTCGCGCGGGACCGTGTCTGTTGAAAACAGTCCGGAGACATCTCCGAGAGCAGGACGCGCGCAAGGCTCACAAGCTATGCAATGCGCTTGCAAAGCAGGTCGAAATCATGAAAAGCGCATGGAAAGCTGCCACGGAACACCTCACGCTCACTTGCCGCTCGCGATCGTGTCCTACCGAGAAGCACTTTCCGGCTCGTCGAAAGCCCTGCCAGAACTCCCTTTCCCACTCGAGTGGCCCCCGTACAACATCCAGCGAGGTCAGTGCTACAATGTTGCCGCTGATTGCGCTGATTACGTCTATCAATACATATCCCATCGTCTTCGCAGCGCATCTACGTGCTGTGTAGATGGTTGATTGTCTACATAGATATCAGCCACACGTTACAAACTCTAAGTTTGTAGTTTCATGCAGGGTCAACCTTGTATTCCCTGAATTGGCCTCCAACGAGACTCGAGAGCCTGTTGCCAATGGACGAGAAGGCTACCACTTTCCCGCGGATCTCGCTTCACCGCTTCTGGTGCTGAAACCGAGATGCTCTGCTATGCTCTGTCCCCGGCAGCTCCGATCTTACGTCCACGAAGATTTCTGGTGCATCGCATGTTGTTCGTACTTTCCTCCCAACCAAAAACACCCTCCGGCCCAAGTTTACAGCCGTCCATGACTCCCGAAATCCCGAAAACATAGCTACATGATTTGTCATCGCTACAGAGTTACCGCTAAGCCAGGGAGATAATAACGATACATCGCTCTTGTCTGCCTCATCCAGACTACCCGTCCGACAGAATTTACATGTCCCACTCGTCCCACACGCCCGGCACATTACTTGTCTGTTGCTGCGCGGTTAGGTCTGCCGTCTCTATCAATTCAACCAGCCTGTCATTAGGTCCGCCCCCACCCTTGTCATCCCCATGCATCGCGACGAATATCCCCCGCTCACTGGCGTGAACGAGCCGGATGTCCGATCCCTCAATCACCTGCACCAACTTCCCTGTTGCAAGGGATCGGATCTCGATGAACTCGGGAGAGAACAGGAGAACATGTTCGCCTCGATGAGCGCAAGAGGTTGCCTTCGTTTCCCACCTGAGGTACCCCGACGAGCGACAAGGTACACCGTGCCTGTCGATATAACAACCAAGTTCTGTTGCGTACTGAGTTAGCGCGGATTCGGAAGTGGGTGGTCCGAACGTACCGTCAAACACGATCAGAAGCTCGTTACTGGCAACTTTGACCAGGCCTAGAGGCTTAGCACTCGATGAACGTTGCTTGAGTAACTGCATGGGCTCGTTCGCATCGCTAAAGTTCGGAATCACTGTGGCATTTGCACCGGATGCGCTGAGACTGTCGCCGTAATTACCGCTTAGCTCGGTTCGCGACAAATGAAGGAACGACAGACGCACTTCGTAGGATCGAATACGTGTATTCCACGTTCAGCACAGACCCCGATGGTCTTGTGCAGTGCGACGATATCGTGTGAGTCCTTCGGTATCCACGTCGGCTACCGAGATAGATTGTCGTCACAACCACGGCGTCGACGGCGATAACAGGGAATGGAAGTGTACCTCACCGAAGGACCGGAAAGAGGCAGAACCGGAGGAAATGCTTCGTCGTAAGTTGGCGGTTAGGTCCGTCGTAGCCACGGCTTCCAGAGCGTTAAGCGTCACTTGCATGAAGCTCTTGGTTGCATACAAGACTGACATGGATAACAACGGCTACTTCAGGAGATGCCACCAGAAGCATGAAGCATGGCGTACCAATTATTCTCCCGCTAATCTTCACTACCCTCGCTAGTATTATAGCAGCATGCTGTTCGCTGACTCGTTCTCGCGATGCATCGAGGTCCTGTGGTCTCGCCGTACCAAGCCCTACAAGAGCCATAGCGTCCAAGGAATAAGCCTCAAGACCATCATCGGAATGGACTATTATCTTATTGAGACTAGATAAAGCCTCGAGGTAGGCTACATTTGCCTTCTTCAGCACACGCTTGAAATCTACGAAGCGGTTCAGAGGCGATCACTACATGCAAAAGGCGGCTACTAACCTGGCTTGCCTCGCGCAGCAATATAAATACCAGACGAGCAGCCAGCAGCTATCACCGTCCTGCCTTCGATCACTAGCACTAGATCAATAACTATCGGCGACACGATAAAGTTGGGAGCTCACTGAATGAGGTTGCAGAGCGTATTTTGCCAGTGATGCGACTGCTGGAAATATGTGATGCCAACCCGTTGGACAGGCGGAAGAAGCTATCGTCAACAGTATCCGGGGCGTACCACTAAGTTTTGACCTGAGCTCTGCCCCCACGACGAAGTGCAATGATCACTCACCATATTAGCATCCTGCCTCGCCTTCCGAATTCCGATTGCATCTACCATTGCTCTCCGCCACAGCTCCCTCTCCGATTCACTCGTAGCATACAGCGTGTACCGCCGTGTTAAAGTAGCGGAGGCATGGTATATCGTGAAAGGGTACATCGGCCGATGCCGAGAACGGAAGCTGTCGAAAAGTCGCGCTTGCTCGATCGTGGAGGTGGCTTTCTCTCGACGGTTTTCTGGCAGGGTGTCGAAGGTCGCTAGACGAAGGTATTCTAGAGGTATAGGCTACGACGCATATTATTATGGAAGACGCAGCGTAGCGGAATAAATTAGGCTCACTCGTGAGATTACGTTGTGACGAGTGCTACCGTTAGAGCGGATCTCCGGTTTAAGAAGCAATACTGCGGAAGGAGGCCATGAGCGGCGCCTTAAGAGTGTGCACGATGTCGCTACCCACGATAGTTATCCAACAAGGCGACATGTAGGTCTACCCAGGTATAAGTGACTTCAGTACGGCTTGTGTACCGTCGAGCGAGCGGTCCTGAATACTGGAGAGTGCGACTCTCATCGTACAGATCGAGATCCTGTGTAATCCATTAGAGACCAGATGAAAGACAAAACGCCGAGCACGCACAACAACTTCGCCTTTTTGGAACGACATACTTTCACATAACTCCCAGAACTTGACTTTACTTTCCGCCGCTTCGATCCCAGGCTGTGTGCTCTTGATGAAATCGCTAAGCAGGCTTACGAGCAGAGTCAGGGTCTCTTGATCCGTGTGGTCTGCTGGCGTGTGCTTCTGAGTCGTGTTCACGAGTAACAGCAATCGCGGAAGACGAGTGACGGGTCTCGAGAGGAATGTGATGAGGTCACGTTTGCGTATTCGTGGATCCTGGCCACATTGCGAGAGGAAGTACTGGTATTTGGAGTTGCGCTTGAGCTCCTTCCTATGATACGCTTCGGACAGAGGATAGTGTTTGATATATTGTTCATATGCTGTACGAAAGGCGAAACTGGCTGTAGTACAGGAATATATGAGTACTACGGACGACGAGCGTCAGACGTACTCACTGTCTAGGATTATCGACGCGAAATTCGTGATGAAGGGATGCTGGTCGCGTTGGAGCTCGAAAAGCTTCTCCAGCATACTCTTGTGATAGCCTAAGATATCATCCAAGTTGTAAAAGACTTCCGTAACGTAGCCCTTCAGTCTCTGCTGAGGAATAGGGCGTGTGTTCACCAAAGGGTCGACGAAGACATCGCGAACAAGCTCCAAATCCCTGACATAGTCCCTCTCTGACCTGATAATCTCGAAGATAACGGACTGCCTTTGCACTTCGTGCTTGTCAAGGGTGTCCAATGCAGATTTGGGAACGAGCCGATGCCACTCTTCGTCGTTCTCTCCAAGCTCACCAGCCTGGAAGCGTCGGAGGCCTTCGTTCGAGTCAAGACTGAGACATAAATTGCAGAAGGAAGACAATCAACGATATTGCCTATATGGACATCAAAAGAGCTACACACGTCAAAGAGGACAGCTCATCCGATAAATCGTTTGAAGGTAGCTAAGCAGAAAGGACGGCACTTGGCAAGCTGAGTCAAAGACGAGGAAAGGGAATGTATCCACACCTCCGGACTACTCTCTATGTAAGACGGCGGTCTCGATTCTCCCCGGTGCAGGGGTGGTCTTGCGGATAGTGTGGATTCGCTCATCGAGATTCGATGACCCAGAGTTTGGTAGCTTGCTGAGTGTCGTAGAGATGCTGTCTTCGCTGTGGGCGACATATACACTGGTGAGTCCGTGTATCCATAACTGCCAAGGCCCCCCGCTTCATGGATACTCGCAGGCCTGCCTGGTGAGCGAGGGATCTCAGGCTCAGGAAAGCTTGGAATATAAGTCGAGTGCCGGTACTCCTCGCTCCAGAGGGAATCGTCCGCGGGAGTGACTATGAAGTTGATGTCTTCTACATGTCTGGATGATGACCGTGAGGGGGGTGCAGCACCTGGCGGGATCGCAACGTGTGGATGAGGTCGAGGCGACATACTAGAAGGAGCTCATGAAATCAATTTGGCGCACGGGCGGAGTCGATCTTCGCACGTGCGGATTAGTCCAGCTCTCGTTCCGGGCTGTCGCACGTCATTAATTTTAATCATTGCCGGTGCTCAGTTGTCCGCATGCACAAAACGACTAGATCTATTCATCATGGCTTGCGTCCGGAGATATGATGATGTTAACGCGTTGTTGAAGTGCTCAAAAGCAACAATACTGAGCGACGTACATGCCGAACCGATTCAGTTGCGAAGATGTTATATTTCTGGTATTCATTTCTCTGAGTCGGCATGTACATAGCCGTTTTGTCCATGTCTGAGCCATAAATATTGGGCACTTCGGAGCGCTGCGCACCAGACGATGACCCTGAATATCCCCTAGGTAGGCTGGCCCAGCCCCAAGGTGCCCTATATCCGAATGATGGTAAGAGGGCAATATCCGGATGAGCAACCCTAGCTTCGGAAATACTATCTGGTAAACTTGACTCACTGCTACGTGACATTCTGCCCCACAGTTGTCAGGTTTGGCAACGATTTGGTGCCAAGCGGGGTCGCGTCTCCGGATGGTGGGGCCAGCCTCTGGGCCTTTTCAGGTCCAAATATCCAGACTTTGACGCAGCCTCCCGCCGTCTCAAGGGTCGCTTCATCCGGACGGCGGACCTGGTTCCTGAGTTTGCCGGCCTCAGGAGGTGCGACCGGCAGGCGCTCGAACGAGACCAGCTGTATTTCTCTGGTTCAGCCACAACATGAACTCCAATCAGTAAGTGTGGTATCATCTCTTCTTTGCTTTATCCACTCAAGTTCCTTTTTCCGTAGGGCTCGCGCGAAGAGGATTGCAGGAGGGTATCATCTCCAATAGGAAGACTTACAAACCTTCCTGGAGAGCGTCGGCCATTACCACCCCTCCTCGGAGGCTCATTTCGGCAGCGAGGAGTTAAATACCAGATACATGATTTTCTGGCACCAGAGCGACTTCAACAAACGCGGTATTCCTATCCTGAACTGTGAGTCTTCCAGGCCTATGTGCTGTCGCATTGCTGCTAACAGCGGCGCAATCTATCTAGAGTGCAGCGGCGAAGAGTCCCTGATCCTTCCGACGGGAGGTTGGAGTATCGAAAGACGGAAAGAAGGGCAAGCGGCCGGGGCGCAAGTCTCTGGTAATCAGAGACAAGTTCACTGAGGCTACCAAGAGCGCGTTTCCCCTGGAGAGAGTGATCTGGGAGTGTGTACCGCTTAATGCTCTCATTGCCAACCTCCATCAATGAGCGAAGGATATTATGTACCTCCCACGGAGCCGGGAGCCTGAGGAACTAATTAACATCCTGTGCGAACATGACATACCCATGTTATGTGTAACCGTAGACTAAGCCATGGAGATCCGACTAACAAATTCTTGAATTGCTGAGTTGTCGCAGGTCGGTAGCACTACGTTGCTGTCTTGGCAGATTCCCCTCATTACCCTGAGATCCTGTTCAAACAGAAACTAAAGCATACGCATATATTAGACAAACCGGCCGTGACAAAACTTAACCTGCGTAGACAAAGCTGCTCTAATAGCACGAGAAGGTTGTTTCCGTCGCAACATTTAGAAATGTGAGATGATTCCAACAATTTAACCCTGCAGGATACTTTAGTTTTAGCAAGGCTATTTTCATACTACGGTTTATGCTGATTTATAGCGACTACTGTAGCTTGACACCCATGCGTCCGTCAAACAACTCCCATCGTTGCCAGCACGCTGTCTTTCCAGATCGCTCATTGTGCGTGAACTTGAACCCGACAATGAAAGCCGCCTAAAAATGGCTCTGTTTCAACTATCGGCCCGTGCAAAGGGGTAAGAGGTATGAGGAGGCGCGCGCTTTGCCGAGCGCCACAAAGAGACCGCGATCACGTGCGCACGTGAGGTGGTTTCACTGCGCGACTTCGATTCTCATTCCCAGTCTTCAAGACGCAACGGCTCGCCGTGGCAGGCCGCATCTCCCTGTCCTGTGGTCAGCGACGACTCTTCTCGCTTCCTTGTGTCTGTGCCTAGCAGCGGAGACGAATCTAGCAACGGCAAGGACCAGCGGCTCACGATGGCCGATCTCGCAGAGCTCGAGCGGACTCGCCAGACTTACCGAACGAAGCTTGCAACGGCGCTCACGGAGGATGAAGATCCTTTGGCTGAATACGAACGCTTTGTTAAATGGACTATCGACTCTTATCCCCATGAACTCATCCCAAAGTCCGGGTTGTTAGAGCTACTCGAAGAGGCGACAAGACAGTTCAAGGATGACGATGCTTACAAGGGCGATCTGCGATATACCAAACTTTGGATGCTGTTTGCCGCATATGTGGATGAAGAGAGGACGCATACGGCTGTTCCGATATACAAGTTTCTTGTGAAAAATAATGTAGGGATGGTATATGCGCAGGTGTATGAGGAGTATGCTGCAGCGTTGGAACGGGCAGACAGGTGCGCCCTACGAATATTACCCGTAGCATATGCTTGATAGTTTATACAGGCCGGATGACGCAAAGCAAGTTTTTCTGCATGGCATAAAACGCCGAGCGCGGCCTGTCGAACGGCTGAAGAAACGATACGCAGAGTTCCAAGCTCGCGCCTCAGCCAAGCAGCCTCCGCCGACTCGCACATCTACGTCATCTACACCTCTTCCTTCGTCTCAAGCTTGGAAAAGTGCGACTGCAGAAGCGCGAGCCATCCGCCGAGACCCACTCAAGAACTTCAAGCCGAAAAGTATTTCGTCTTCAGCAGGACTCCCCGCTGCGTCAACCTCCGCTTCCGTTCCAGGCTCCACTTCCACCACTGCTGCAGCACCACCGCTTAGCGAAGTCCCTCCATCTCTCGCAAATCACCCTGCTCTCACCAAACATGGTCACCAACGCTACCTGCCTATGCTCATTCCGGCTCCACCGGGCAAACGCCCTGAGAAGCTGCGATTCAATCTCTCTTCCCTCTTTGCCGAAGATGGCATGGAGTACAGCGTACAAGAGGCGCGCTCACGTTCTATGGGTCTGCTCAGCAAAAAGTGGGCCCCGCCCCCTCCCTCTGAGTTGCAACGCTTTGCCTCCTCGACCTCGACCACCGCCTCCCTCCAGTCTAGCGGCGGCAGCAATGCACCAGGGAATAAGGCCACTCGAAACCCCACGATAACCCGCAAGGGCGGCTTTGGTGGGGGCTACGCTGAGCCGACAGTCACGCTCGCGACGAAGGAGGCGTTGGCAGACGTGTTCGGGATGTACAACTCCCCAGAGAGGAGCATGCGCTTTGGCCCGGCAGCGGGCAGCAAGTATGCGCCGGTGCATAAGGTTGACCCCATCACGCCTATTGGCGGAGGGAGCTTGCATTCTGCGCTCGCGGCGGCCAAGAAAGCGGATGAGAACGCAAACACGAAGACTCCGATACCTGTATTCAGGGATGAGAATGCGAATGTGGGGAGGAACGCGAAGGAGAATGGTCTCACGCCTGTTGCCCCGAAGGTGAGTATATGCGTCATATCATTCCCGCTATGCGTTCTCGGTGGATGTTACTCATGTATTGCGCACTAGTTCCAAGTCTTCGTTGATTCAAGCAGCTCCCAGACTCCCGGTTCAGCTCGTGAAGGGCGACGTGCGCTGTCGGCCAAGGACCCTTCAACGCCATCATCTAATGAGAATTCCCGTGCAAACTTACGTGGCCGCCCTGCCGCCTCTGCTGCAGCCCCACTTGGTGCAGTGGCCGAAATTGGGGAAGACGAGGACGAGCCTACTCCACCTGCGAGACAACAGGTCTTCTCCGTATTCTCTGCGGCAGCAGCTGCAGAAAATGACTCTGCCAGGCCCAAGTCTGGTTTGAATAAGAAGGATATATTTGTTGACGTGCCTACTCAAGCGTCGTCTTCAAAACCTTCTGCGGGACAGCCCTTTAGAGTCTTCAGTCGTCCACCTGCAGTGCCTCCTACATCCAACGCCGCACCTTCCGCACCATCAAGACTAAACGAGAATGCTTCGCAACGCAAGCCATTCACGCCCTTCAGAGACATCTCAACCGCCGCCAGCCTACCTTCTTCTTCTGTGCCATCACCCTCACGATTGACGCCACCACCTCCAGCAGAGACCCCTGCTCCCCGCACGCCGTTTGGCGACCGCTCACACACACCACTGCAGGCACTTTCCTCTGCGTCAACAGATTCCTCCGACGCCGACGGCATCATCGCGTACCAAACGCCTGTCGCAGGCGGCGAGCAGTACTACGATGACGGCTCGACGCCGAGCTCCGACTTCGACGATGTAGACGACACACAGTCGCCAGCCGGCGACGCCCGCGCTGTGCACATGCACGCAGGCTACGCAGACGACGCGCTGAGCGATGACGTCGACGAGCGCATGCTCGGCGTGCGCACGCCCGCGGGCAGCGATGCCGAGGATGGCTACCAGTACGAGTACGAGTACTACGAGGAGGAGGAGGAGCAACAGCCTGGCTCCGGGCGGATGCACCAGGGCAGACTCGGCAAGCTGAACCTCATGACGCCCATCACTGAGCGCACGCTGGAATACGCAAACATCCACACGCTGAACGCGCGCAGCACTGCCGGGAGTGTAGCGAGTGTTAGTGGGAAAGTGTTCAGTATTGCGGAGGAAACGGCAAGGGAGAGCGCCGACATGCTTGCCGCTGAGTTGCGCGAGGACGAAGAGCTTAGCGGCGGGTTGCCCCAGAAGTACGATGCTATGCGGGAGGAGAAGCACATGGAGGAGCGAACGGGTACACTCAGCCTCATGGATGCTCTCACGCGTGCCTCTGCGTTCATTCCGCCTAACCCGTGCAACCCTTTCGAGAGCCCTATCATCACCTCCCTACTCTCCGTCCTCCCGGCCGACCTTGCCTTCCACGACCTCCGTGCATACGAGTCGGGACGGCTCGACGCCCTGCAGAAGTTTGCGCGCAAGAAAGAGAGGCGAAGCAGCGGGAACAGCTCGCGGAATAGCAACAGCGGTGCTGAGCAGCGCTCGCTGCGCATAGAGCTCGAGGACCAAAAGTACGACATCCTCTCGAAACTCGGCGAGGGCGGCTTCGGCACGGTCTTCGAGGCCATCGACGTCGGCGCCGCAGCGCTTAAGAAAGGTCGCAGCATGGACGACGGCTCCGACGACGACTTCAGCGACGGCGACGAGGACGAGGACGAGATCCCCAAGGTCGCGCTCAAGGTCGTGAAGCCGCGCAGCATCTGGGAGTTCCACGTCCTGCGGCGCATCCACGCGACACTCTCGCCCGTGCTCCGACGGAGCATCGTCACGCCTGCAGCGCTGTACGCCTACAAGGACGAGTCCTTCCTCGTACTCGAGCTGCGCAGGCAGGGTACGCTCCTCGACATCGTGAACCGCGCGCCCTCGGCGGGGATCACCCAGCAGGGCGCGTGCCTCGACGAGCTCCTCGTGATGTTTTTCGCCACCGAGCTCATGCGCACGCTCGAGGGACTCCATCGCTCGGGCTTCATCCACGGCGACGTCAAGATCGACAATTGCCTGCTCCGGCTCGAGGACGTGCCCGGGGCCGCGTCGGCCTGGGCGGCGCAGTACGACCCCGCGGGCGAGGGCGGCTGGAGCTACAAGGGCGTGACGCTCATCGATTTTGGACGCACGATCGATACGAAGCTCTTTCCGTCCGGACAAACGTTTGTCGGCGACTGGGCAATGGACGCGCGGGACTGCCTCGAGATGCGCGAAGGCCGTCCGTGGACGTTCCAGACGGACTACTTCGGACTCGCAGGCATCATCTTCTGCATGCTCTACGGCAAGTACATCGAGGCGTCCAGCGTGGTAACCGCGGATCCCGCGCCGGATGGGACGGCACGCTACAAGCTCGCAACACCGTTCAAGCGGTACTGGCAAGGAGAGCTGTGGACACGGCTGTTTGACCTCCTGCTGAACCCGACTCTGGTGCGACCGAACGGATCGTTGCCGCTGTATGACGAGATGGCGGAGTTGAGACGGGAGATGGAGACGTGGTTGCAAGTCAACTGTAATCGTGCGAGCAATAGCCTCAAAGGGCTCTTGAAGAAGGTCGGGCTGTCCATCCTGGGTGGTAAGGACGGTCGATAGAGCACCATTCTGACTCGCCCCGCACTTGTTTTCCTCAAATTATTTGTTTATTTCTCCTGTATGCATGTGCTATGATACAATATGGCCTCTCCTGTGCCTCTCATAAGGATGGGCCGAACATCAAAGCAAATTGTTAAGGTAATTACCATGAGAAGACAGTGATATTACACGTGAATTTATTATTGTACAAACCAGCGAAGTACGACAGCGTGAATCGTCGTAAATTTCCGTTACTGTTACCTTTGCGATCGGCGTGTGTGAGGTCAGGGAGGGCCAAACTCAACCAGCGGTGTAGGCGGCAGGGCCTGCAACGACGTGGGAGTCAAGGAGCGACAGATTATACGATGTGACGACCGGTACGGCATCGGTCACCAGGACGAAGACAGTGCCGTTAACCAGGCTCGCGGTGTCATTGCCGTAGATGGCGCCGCCCGGCTGCCGCGTGTACGCGGTGAAGTTCGTGACGTTGATCAACGGGGTGTACGTGACGTTCAGCTGAGAGATCCAGGCGGCAAACTGGTGCAGAGTCACCTCAGGTGCTGCGACGCAAAGAAATACAGAAATATAGCTTACCAACGGAGTGCCCGCTGACGAAGTCGTGGTGTAGTTCAGACCGGGGCCGACCTGCTTTCCAGGCGCTTCCCACTGGAGGTGAAGAAGCTGGCCGGACTGCGAGAGAGGCGTAGAGCGGTTATGGGAGACGGCCGACAGCGTGTCGTTTGTTATTGCCGAAGCATTGGGCGCGTTCGTGATGTTGAGGCCGGGGAAGTTCTGCCATTCGATCTTCGGATTCGTGGACGGGCAAGACAGAATCCAAGGGGTTATCTGCGTCCATTGCATGGATTGCGTGATGACGGGGTTGAAAAATTGCTGGGAACAGCGTTAGATATGGCTTCCAGCTCAGGTACAGTCGGTGGGACATACCGGCATCGGGAACAGCCCCTCCATCTGCCTGAGGACCATCTCCTGCCTGGACTCTACGGTGATGGATTCCGCGAGAAGGCTGGCTACCGCCTGGGAGTTCAAGTGTGCCAGGAAACCAAGGACACCGCTCTCGCCGATCCTGGTCATCTTGCTCGAGAAGTCGATGAAATCACGAACATTGTCGAAGGGATAGGCGTATGTGCAGGACTTGGACGCGTTGTTTGGACCGAGGATATTCGTGATCATCTGCGCGTGGCCGACTTCCTGATCGGCCATGTACTCGATGAGGAACTGCTGCTCGGGTGTGATACCTGCAGCCTCAAATTCCTCAGGAGAGAACCGAGCCAGGCCATTGTGGAAAAGGTCGAGTTCGAGGTATTCTTGCTGAAGTGCCAGATTCTATGTGCCCTTCAGTACACGCACAGATTGAAACAGATAGGCTACACCTACGAGAGACTGGAGGTCGTAGTCGCTCAATGGCACATATTGAGGAACATCCGTAGGAGACGTGCCCAGTCCGCCTGTGGGGGTTGGTGGCGGAGCGATGGACGACGTGGAAGATGCGGATGAGGAAGGCGCGGACGAGGGGGGAGCGGACGAGGAAGGCGCGGACGAGGAAGGCACGGACGAGGAAGGCACGGACGAGGAAGGCACGGACGAGCTTGTGGCTGCGCTGGAAGCGACGCTAACCGTGGTAGAAATAACGCTCGTGGTCGAGGTCGCAGTTGAAGGTGCAAGAGAGCTGGTAGAAACGCTCACACTAGTTGAGATGACGCTCGTTGTTTCGGTCGCGGTTGAGGGTGCAGGCGAGCTAGTGGAAACGATCACACTAGTCGAGGTGACACTTGCGGTCTCGGTCGCGGTTGAAGCAACGCTCACACTAGTCGAAGTGACACTCGTGGTCTCGACCACAGTAGAAGACGGAGGCGAGCTAGTGGCAACGCTCACACTCGTTGAAGTGGCGCTCTCGGTCGCGGTTGTGGTTGATACAGAGGTGCTGGAGGCTTCGCTGACACTAGTCGAAGTGGCGCTCGCGGTAGCAGTTGTGGTGGTCGTAACTGCCTGCGGAACCGCAAAAACCGGCTGGCATGACAAGATGGCAAGCGTAGCGGTGAGGAGAGACAGCATGTTACGCATCATCGCCGTAGGTAGATAGGGAAAGGGGCGGAGGTGTCGGCAGTTTGGTTCTTAAGTATACCGCGACTACCCGGAAGCGAGCATCGGCTGATGACGTATGAGGTGACGAGGAGGATCGCCGAGAGGTGCAACTCATGACGAAATTCAGCAGGAAGCCACTTACGAAAGCACCACTTTCACTTGGGCGGCAGGTGCGTGGAGTCGGGAGCTTCGTGGCGTAACCGGGCATCGGGCCATCGAATATTCCATATTGCAGCTAGAAATTGCAGCTAGCATAACATCTGTGTTCGGGGACAATTACCGACTACTTGACTTCATCGTATAGAGCCTCGAACTTGAAGCCACTAACACGCCCACTATTGAGGCCCGGAGTTAGGCCAGTAACCACCGAGAAGTACTGAAACTCACGTACTTCCTAGCTGAGCAAGGTACGGCTGTTGGCACTCCTGTCTAGATGACGACGAAAAAGGAAGGCAATACCTTTGGATCCCAACAAGGGAAAATAACGGTGGCAGTCTCTTGGTCATCAAGACGGGCAAGGGAGGCCGACGTCTTGCCCAGTGCCTGAAATCCGGAATTTTCAAAGCCATGGCTAGGGGTGCCAGCAATTCGCGGGGCCAAGGCCCCTCGAGACAGGGATGCAATACGCTTGCTCGGCGGCAATGAAATACATGCTGCTCTCTTAAGGTCTGTGGCAAGTAAGTTAGAGGTCAGGCCTGCTGTCCATGCAAGAAGACGCCTCACTCAATACTACAGAAGTGCAGGAGGCCATTCCCGAACTCGAAGATTATCCAGTGTGCCGCACGAAGCTGTCGCTGTCCGCCCTGCTGCCAGGTGTGCCCCGGAGTGTCAACCATGGCTGTTTGAGCCTTCCATAGTAAGCGGCCTGCTCCGGGGCCGAGTTCAAATGTACATCCTGGACGTTGTTCGAAGTACTGAGCGATGTCCGCGAGACGGGAAAGTAAGTGGAACTCGTCGCCACTTGATGCCTAAATACTCCGTTGCTCGCCTATACTTCGCTTAGCGAATCATCGTCGCAAATCTAATGGATACTGTTCAGAATTCGGGATGTCTATTGCGTCCGTTCTGA